AAAAAACAAACAAAACAAAGCAAAGCTCCAACTTTTTGTTTTGAGACAGGGTCCACTAAATTGCCCAGGTTGGTCTTGAATGGTCTCTGTAACCCAGGCATGCTTTAAACTCCTGCCTCAGCCTGCTAAATAGTTGGGGTGACAGCCTGTACCACTCGGCCTGATACTGGTAGACGTTTTAATGTTTAGGGATATCACTGTCTATGGAGAGAACACTGACAAACACACATTTTATTTAATGTTGATTTTTATGAACATATTCACAGCAGTTCCATGCTTGCCTATCAAGTCCAGGACATAAACCTTACTATAGTTAGGCTTAAATCTGCCAGAGTGAAAAGTAGGAGGCTGAGGCGGGAGGATTGCATTTTTGAGATCATCTTGGGCTACACAGGGAGAGCCTGTCTCCAAGCAAACCAACCCCAAATTATACATAAGTCAATTTTAATACTCTACCCCAGTCGTTCTCAACCTGTGGGTCGTAACCCCTTCGGGTCAATTTGTAACAATGAAGATACATTCTGCATATCAGATATTTATATTATGATTCATAACAGTTACAAATTCACAGTTCTGAAGTAACAATGAAAATAATTTATGCTTGGGGGTTACCACAACATGAGGAACTGTACTGAAGGCTCACTGCACTAGGAAGGCTGAGAGCCACTGCTCCAATCATATGGCTTTAGTTCATTGCTCCGTGTTTGGTTTACTTGTTCTTGCTTTCTCTAGAGAAAGACACTTGCTGTTAAGAGGCAGGGGCTCCTGGTACTGCTCACAGTGGACCCAAACTCTTGGGTCAAGTGGGCATTCTGGTTAAAGCCCAAGGTCACCAAAACATTTCCCTTCATGTTTTCTTTGAGTTATTGAAATCTTGTCGGCTCTCTCAGAGAATAGTGTGTACTGTCCTCAACCCTCAGCTCTGCGGGGCTCCGGGGGGGGGGGTTCTTTTAGAAATTGCTTGTGGTTGGGGATCTGATATTTTCCATAAAACTTCTGCTGCCTCGATTGGGTGTGTGTGCGTGTGTGTGTGCGCACATGTGTTCTTTATCTTCCTCGTAAGCTTTTCGTTTTCACTCCAAGTTTTCCTCTGAAATGTATTCATTTCTATCTGTCTGGCCAGGGTTATGGAGCCCTCGTTCTGTTGTTATGAGGTGTGTTGTAGTGTCTTGCTCTTTGAGTACCATGAAAACGAGCTGCGAGCCTAGTTAATTCTTTCTGATGCCTCATGGGGGATCCACCAAGATCTTCTGAGGGAGGAGGGCTGTGTTTGCACGCTGATGCACCTCGAAGAACAGTTGACTACCTCTGAATCTTAGGGCCTCTTTTCTTCTTGATAAGGGTGTAGAAGGCCAAGTCTGGCTAACTGTTTAGAATGTTTTCCTACCGAGTTATCATATATGAGCACTTGTGCCCTTCGGTCCTTCTGGGTTTTGGAAGTAGTTCAGTGTTTTCCAGATCTAGTTGGCTCACATACAGGTCTCTGTTTTGATCTGTTTACCAAAGAAAATAATTGTATCTTGGTCTCTATAAACAGCTACATACTTAGAAGAAATACAAATATGTAATATTACTCCTTTTTAACTAAAACCTATAAAGATGCCCAAAGTCATAATTATTCACTCCCTTTTGAATGAAAAAGACCATTGAAAAGATTTATTTAGTTTATGTGCATGACAGCTTTTGCCTGAATGCTTGTGTGTGAGGTCAGAAAGGGGGTCAGATCCCCTGGAATGCAAGTTACAGATGGCTGTGAACCACCCCGTGGATGCTGGGAACTGAACCCCAGTCTTCTAGAAGAGCAACAAGCGTTCTTAACTCCCGAGCCATCTCTCCAGTCCCTTTTCCTTGTGAGCTTAGCCTTTAACAACTGGGCTGTCTTCAGCCCCAAAATTCCTTTCTGTAATGGCTAGCAGTAACTTTCCCTTTTGAATGGGATTGTGAATTCAGAGCTACACAGACTAATCACGGTGGACACACTCCATGTTTCCCTTCCAACCCCCCACCCCCCGCCCCGCCTTCTTGCCTGTGTCAAGCAGCTTGTGGTTATTTGGGTGTCTGTCCTTGTTCTGCATTTTGGGCTGATTCCTGACAAGGTTGAAAGAATCGTGGTGTTTCTATTTCTCCTTTTCACTTAATGGCTTCAGTGAGGGTACTCAGTTTTGGCTGAAAACAGTAATGTGAACATTGTCAGAATAAAAATGGACTTTTCTATCTTTTCCCTTGCCAAACCCTAAGTAAATAAAATTGAGAGGCCTTGTGGGGAGAAACTGCAGGAATGTTGCTTGTCATAGGAACTACGGCTGGGAAACAAACCAAGACCCCTGCAATAGAATAAGTGCTCTTAGCTACTGAACCATCTCTCCAGCCAAAGCAGGGGGTTCTTAATCTCAAAATTACATTTGCCCTATTAATTCCATCTTCAGGATTTTATACCACTGATGTATTTGCCTATGAGTAAGTACTAGATTTATTGCTATAAGCAAAAAATAGTTGCAGAAGTTTGCTAATAACTCAAATATCTATTTATAAGGGGCTGGTAGAGTATGCTATGTCAAAACATCAGCAACCTTCAAAGATGAGGGAGATCTTTATGTGTTAATATGAAATAATTTCCTGATTTGTGTTAAAATGTGGGGAAAAATCAAAACGCAGAGGTGTATATTAGCTTGGGAGTGTGCACAGGACCGACAGATAGAGGAGGCCACTGTCCTTCACAGACTTATTCCCATGGACTTCATTTGTTCAGTTAGGTTTATAATACTCTGGCCAGAACAGCACCAAAGGTTACTTTGTTACTCCTTAAGAGCCACGTGGCCTGTAAGCCATCTGTGCGGAGCAAGGAGTGTATAAATTATGCTATCATGTGTGAGACAAAGATAGACATGGTGTTATAGCTGGGTGTTCTCACCTAAGAGAAGGCCACCAGGGTCAGCTCTTTATGAATTTGAAGTTTTTTATTGAGTCACACAGACCCAGCCAGGGGCATGTGTAGAAGGAGCGGTGGGCAGGCCTGCTTTTCGTTCCTCCCGGCTCCTGCACGGCTAGATTTATCCGACTAACTTATGCCCAGAAATAACAACACACAAATCGTATTCATTTAAACACTGCCTGGCCCATTAGTTCCAGCCTCTTCTTGGCTAACTCTCACATCTTGATTAACCCATTTCTAATAATGTGTGTAGCACCACAAAGTGATGGCTTACCGAGAAAGATTCAGCGTGTCTGACCTGGTGGCTGGCTCCATGGCAGCTGACCCAGAGAGGAGAGGCATGGCGATTGCCTAACTTCCCTTCTTCCCAGCATTCTGTTCTGTCTACTCCACCTATCTAAATCCTGCCCTATCAAAAAGCCAAGGCAGTTTCTTTATTAACCAATGAAAGCAACAAATAGACAGATGACCCTTCACCATCAGGCATGCACTTTTGTGGCTACCAGGACAGAGGCAGCACTGAGCTGAGTGGGCTGAGAGGGAGTGGGGGGTGAAGGGGGATTTATAAAGGTAAAACCCACAGGGTTGGTGCCTCCTTTTGACGTAGCTGCAATGGCTGTTAGCAAGCATGACTGGATATGAACTTTTAATAAGAATAGGACATAGTTGTATCACCATGGACTCACTCTGATGGAAAGCCACTTCCAGAAGCAGAACAATGAAGGTTAGCAGAAGTTCCTGTAAGTACCGCGTGCCTGAGGGTAATGCTGACCTCAGTTTAACTGGAGATCAGGCCAGGATTTAAAAAACATGCTGTCCTCACTTCAGTGGGAGGCGTATATTAGCTTGGGACGTGCACAGGACAGACTTATGCCCATTGACTTCATTTGTTTAGTTAGATTTATAATACTCTGGCCAAAACAGCACCAAAGGTTATTTTAATAGTCACATGGCCTGAAGGTCTTTTGTGGACCCTCGTCTCCCCAGGAGAAGGACGTGTTTATAGTTGCAGTTTCAGCTCAGTGGGTTTTAGGGGCAATAACAACAACAAGAAGAAGGAATGAGTAAGTCACGCTGGGATGTGGCCCAGGCCTAGAGGCACTCCTGTCAGTAGGTGATACAGACTCACACATGATCACAGCAGCAACTGCGAAGCAGCAGGAGTGCCTCTGAGGGGCAAGCAGTGGGCAAGCTGCCTATCTCTGGCTGAGGGGAGTTGAGGGGCGTGGGGTGGGGAAGGCATTTCCCTGAGAAGCTGCAGTCTCTTCAGGATTTGGAAGGATGAGCAGAGCTGACCCAGAGTACAAGTTTCTCCAGCAAACAGCGAGGGGTGTGTGGTGGTGGTTTCAGTCCAGAAAGTAGCAGTGGGAATGTGGGGTTTTATTTTGCAGACATCAGGAGGCAGAGGCTTTAAAACTTTTAAAGGACTGAGCTCAGAGCCTGCTTCAGGATGGACAAAGTGTGCAGAGTTGCTGGAACTAATTGGGTGGCTAAAATATGCATCCTTCAAACGCCGTGGAGTAGCTTCATCCTGTCCTGCAACCTTAATATTATCTTTAGACATAGGTGATCCAACTTGTGATGTTTAGCCACCCAATATATATGGAGAGAGAGAGAGAGAGAGAGAGAGAGAGAGAGAGAGAGAGAGAGACTTTAGGCGAGTGGCACTTTCTAGCCACTGGGGCTCTCTTCCTCTAAAGTCAGCCAGGGTCTTCTCATTCTGCCTTCTTGTTGGACCAGATATTGAGTGTTTCTTACATTTTTTTTTTCAAATCCCCATCTACGTCTCTTTCTTATCTTGCTCTCACCAAAATGACTTTTGAGAGCTCTGCTTTGGCCAGGGCCCGGCCTTTTCTGGGGCTGTAGATAGGTTTCCCGGAGGTAGTGGGGGCCCCAGCACGTGTCAAGGTGGGGTTGATTGGCAATATGTCAAGGCAGGGTTGATTGGCCATGTGCCACCCTCTGCTCAACCCTAAACAAGACTTCTGAAGGGGTGGGGGCCTTGGCTCTCTTATTTAGCGCATCTACCCCTCTTGACTCTCAGAAGGGAGAAAACTGCATCTGCAAGATGGGTGTCTTCTGCATCCGTGTCTCCACTGGGTGCTCGCTGTACGCGGGCTCCATAGACAAAGTCCACCTGTGGCTGGTGGGCGAGCATGGAGAAGCATCTCTCGGGATGCTGCTAGCACCCCAACGGAACTCGGTGAGCTTCACAGAGCTGAGGCTAGGCTGGCACGGGGTAGGGTGGGAGAGTGGGAGGGGTAGGGGGTGGGCGGGGGAGGGCAAGGCCAGAGAAATCCCAAGGAGCCCTGTGCTGGTTCCTTAGCTCCATGGAAGGCTCTCACAGCCCTGGGAAGCAAAGCGCATGCAGAGAGGCACTCCGTGAGTGCTCAGTAGCTGTTGGCGGCCGCCTGGCGGGGAATAGTCCTGTATGTCCCTCATTTCACAGAACTCCGCTGGACAACTATCTGTAGTGCCGACTGTCGGACCTCTCTATTTTTAGAAGTTAGAATTTCCCATCTTCTCTGCAGATCCTGGATCTTTTTTTTTTTTTTTTTTTTTTTTTTTTTTAAATATTTATTTATTTATTATGTATACAATATTCTGTCTGTGTGTATGGCCAGAAGAGGGCACCAGACCTCATTCCAGATGGTTGTGAGCCACCATGTGGTTGCTGGGAATTGAACTCAGGACCTTTGGAAGAGCAGGCAATGCTCTTAACCACTGAGCCATCTCTCCAGCCCAGATCCTGGATCTTTAATCTTAGGGCTGAGTGGGTGGGAAGGAGGGTGTGGGGTGCACAATACTCTGTGCTGTTCCCTGTTTATATGTGGCTGGTCTTGCTTTCCTTTTCTTCTTATGACTCTCAGATCCTTCCAGATCCGGATGCTGTCTTATGTTCACTTCAAAGGAAGATAGAGAAATAAGGCACTTACTGGGCTTCTCCCTGTCTTGCCCTTCATCTATACAAGTGTTGAGCAAGCTGGATCAGTTCTGTTCCCCAAGCATTTCACCTGAGTCTTGCCCAGTCCTTGGCCACCAGCGAATGTTCCCTAGACCTGCTAGACTCCAGGTCACCTTGAACATTCCTACTTTAAGACAGCCTGCCTGTTAAAGCCTTCCAAGGTCTCCAGTTCTTCCTCTGTACTAACTGCCAAACTTCTTGCTTATTCTATGTCCCTCAGGATCTGGTCTTGTGTGGTTCCCCAGCCCTAGCTTCACGGCCCAGGTGTCATGGAGGCTTGGGGCAGGGCACGAAGACACAGGTGCAGGGGACCAGCAGGCTGGCTGAAGGAAGGTGCTGGTCCTTTCAGCCTTTTCTCTCTCCATGGACTCTACCTGGTGTCTACTCGTCCCTGACCTCGTTCTCTCTATCCGACCCCCTCTTCAGTCCAGGTTTCTGCTTAGAGACCGTCCTCTTGAAATTCTGGCTCAGCCTACACGTAATTCCTATGGATTGTTTGCCTTTGGTGGGGTCTCCCATCTCACCTGTGCTCTCACTGGGCTTCAGGCAGGGTTTCACTGCCCCGCCCCCAGCCTACCTCCAAGGGGGACAAAGAGAAGGAAGGAGAGGGTACCTTTTCATCTTCTGTCCCCAGCGCTCTCATCTTGGTTGAGTCGACAACCCAGAGTGATATCGTGGGGCCCTGCTAGTGCGTGCTCCCTTTCTCTTTCTGGCTTCCTTCGCGTGGCTTTCCCTGTGGCCCAGTGGAAGCAGAACTCAGCCTGGACACCCTGTCCTCTGCCCCTTGTGTTTGCCTACAGGAGGTGGAATTCCAGGTGGATGTGTCAGAGCACCTGGGGCCCCTGCTGTTCGTGAAAGTGCAGAAACTCCATTACTTTCTGGATGATGCCTGGTTCTGCAACTGGATCTCTGTGAAGGGCCCAGGAGACCAGGGAGCAGAGTACAGGTTCCCCTGTTACCGATGGGTGCAGGGCACTCGCATCCTGAGCCTCCCTGAGGGCACCGGTGAGCAGAGGGTGGGGCCTCAGTTATGTGAGGAAGACCGGGCGGGAACTGGAGTCTGGAGGTGTGTGTGTGGGGGGGGGGGGTTGTTTGTTTTAAAGGAGTTGTCAAAGAAGTGTGTTGCTGGAGCTGGCCCAGGTGCCACGGAGGCTCAGGGGAGGGGCGTGCAGATGCAGGCACAGTGGACAGCCGGAGCTGGCAGGGACCAGAGAGAGACTCCCAGTAGACATCCCAGAACGCCTCCCTCCTCCACATCTAGGCTGCACTGTGGTTGAAGACACTCAAGGCCTGTTCAGGAAGCATAGAGAAGAGGAACTGGAAGAGAGAAAGAGTCTGTACCGGTGAGCCCGACTCCAGTGACCCGCGGTGATTAGCAGGGCAGCTCCTGCAGAGCCCAGTCTGATGCTGTTTCCGCCCGGCAGGTGGGACAATTGGAAGAATGGTGGTATCCTGAACGTGGCCGCGACCAGCTTGTCTGACCTCCCTGTAGATGAGCGATTTCGAGAGGACAAAAAAGTTGAATTTGAAGCTTCTCGGGTTTGGGGGTAAGAGCCAGGGTGTCTGGTGTGAGGGGAGGCGAGCTGGTCTAGCCTGTGGCACAGTCACCGTATGGTTTGGTTCTAAGTATAACTGTTGAGCCCTTTCTCCCATTCTTCCCTGAAGGAAAGCAGGTGTCCTTTTCAACTTTCCTATAAATTCTCTGACCTCCTGGAAAGACCTAGATGACTTCACATGGGTTTTCAAGCTTGGCCGCACCAAACTGGCTGGTTAGTTCACTTACTCCAACATCACTCTTACCCCCAAGTCCTTCCCAGTGCAGGGAGATGAGAAAACCGGGTTGGGGGTGGGGGCAGAGGCTTTTGTCTCTCTGGTAAATCTGGGCCAAGCTGGGATGATTTGGCGGGTGTGGGAAGGACCAGGAACGTGGATCTTAGATACACTTACCTCCCATCCCTAGAGCGGGTTCGAAGCTCCTGGAAAGAGGATGCTTTCTTTGGGTACCAGTTTCTCAATGGTGCCAACCCCATGGTGCTAAGGCGATCTACTCAACTTCCTTCCCGTCTGGAATTCCCTCGGGGGATGGAGAAGCTGCAGGCCGAACTTCACAAGGAGCTGGAGGTGTGAACACGGAGGGGGGGGTGCTGTTCCTAGAGAGACCAAGCAGGGAAGCGGAGGCAGCGCTGTGCCAGCCCTTGCTGCTCTCAGATTCACTGTGGAGTCTCAGAACTCCCTGCTGGTTGTCAAGAGGGGGATCCTGCAGGCGAAATCCCAGACCGATCTGGAGAAACAGACGTGGCTTTCCTACTACAGGAGAGTGGATGGCGGAGGATGGCAGTCTTAGTCGGGGTAGAGACAAACTGAAAGTTGGGAAATGGTCCTAGAGGCCATAGGTCCAGAGGGATGCAGGGTAAGGGGATCCAGGTCAGGGCTGGGGTTGTTAATTAGGAACGAATATGGGACAGAGACAACATTCATGGGGCAAGACAGACCTGCACCTGAATCCTGGTTTTGCTGTGTTAAGCAAGAATTCTCTGATCTGTTTCTGCAGGGAAACAGGCCAGTGGGAAAATCACCCTGCCCCTGGCCTGTCCCTGAGCCCAGGACTTAGCACTCTCCACCCCCATGATTCTGGGTACTTCCCCTAGACTAGCTCTGCACGTGCTCCTAAGACCCCATAGACCCCGCCCCTCTGCTCAGCACACTCGTCTCTCTTTCCATCCAGAGGTCACTGCAGGAAACAGGTCGATTTTCTTCTTTCTCCTCTCTTTGTTGGGCACCCAGGGTGGGAAGAAGACTCTCCATGCCAACAGCAGCCCCCATTTCTCTCCCTGTGCAGGAAGGCACTCTGTTTGAAGCCGATTTCTCCCTTCTGAATGGGATCAAGGCCAATGTCATCCAAAGCAGACAGCAGTACCTGGCTGCCCCTTTAGTCATGCTGAAGCTGCAGCCAGATGGGCAACTCTTGCCCATGGCCATCCAGGTGAGCGAACCTGGGGGTGTACCCCAGGGTGGCCTCCTCTGATGAGCCTGCTGCCCAGGTTCTCTCTCCCTTCTCTGTAGTGCCATTCCCTAAGCACTGAGGAGGCACCAGAGGAGGAGATGGGCAGGCACTGACTTTAAGGGGTGTGTGGCTGGAGAAACAGGTTCCTTAGCTTGTGTAAGCTCCGATGCCAAGGATAGAACCAGTCCAGGAAGGATCTTGGGAAGAGTGTTGGGGGGATGGGTGGCCTCTATCCCCAGAGCCCTAGGAGGAGAAGGCTGGAGACTTCTGGGGATTGCACCTAGATGAGAAAGGCCAGCTAAGCTGAGCTCAGGAGGTGGAATGTGGGCTGCTGGGAAAGGCGTTCCTCCACATTTTCAGTGTTAGAATGGATAGAAGAAGGGGGTTACTAACGCTGGGTTTAGGGTCTCAAGTTAAGACTTGGGGGGCGGTCCCAGGTGAGTAGAAGTCATAGGGAAGAAGAGGAGGTAGAACAGAAGGAGAATCAACTGAGCTAGAGTCAAGGACACAGGGAAAGTGGGAGTCAGGCAGGTTTCTCCAGAAACAGAACACTGAGGCCAGAGAGACACCCACGTAGGCTTTGGTCCTGCCAATCTTGAGGTCATGAGGACACATACAAATCCTCTAACTAGCAGCTGAAACCTGGAGACTTGGACCTTTGTGGATAGGAGGTGTTGGAAGATGAGGGAGAGGCCAAGATTTCTACACAAGTGCGGGATGGAGGAGAGAGGGACCACTGAGCCCCTGACATGCAGCTCCTCACTCAACACTCTGGCTTTGCTCCAGCTTGAACTGCCCAGAACTGGATCGGACCCACCGCCAATTTTTACACCTGCGGATCCCCCAGTGGACTGGCTCCTGGCCAAATGCTGGGTCCGTAGCTCTGACATGCAGCTGCATGAGATACAGTCTCATCTCCTGAGAGGACACCTGATGGCTGAAGTCTTTTCTGTGGCCACCAGGAGGACCCTGCCTTCAGTGCACCCTGTTTTTAAGGTAATGTCTTATTCATCATTGTTCTGCCTGTGTTTCTATCTGCCCAAGACACATTCTTGCCCCTGAAGCATCCCTCTGTGGCATCTCAGGGTCCAAGGAAGTAGGATGAGTGGTAGAGATGAACGAGCCAGGGAATGGGAGGTGGTCTCCTCTACATTTCAGTGATGATATTAATTCCCAAGGGGGTGTGATGAAGGTAACTCCCAAGAAGAGGTGTAAAGATTGTATTCTTTTAATATACAAAACATAAATATACACACAGTACAATAACAGATGCAAATGACTTAGAGATTCCATCCAATCAGAGAAGACCGTGCACAACCACTACAGATTCCTTACAGCCTTCTTTGAAAGGTTCTGAAACTGTAGCCTAAGGCAACAAGAGTAGCCTGGTTGACTACAGCCAATCAGAGCAAAGAGCTCATCCATAAAAAAAAAAAAAAAGGATATTGGATGTCTCTGCTCAGAACTAGTCTAGATGACAGTGGAAACATCTGATCTTCTGGGAGTTTTATGTCCTGTAAGAGAGAAAAAAAGACGATAATGATTGTATCCAACATCCTGGCCATGATGGACAGTGCAGAGTCAGAGCAGTAGCCTGAGGGTGAGTTTTTTCTGGGGATCAGGAAAGACTGTTGAAGAGAAACCCAGGGAGGGAAAGCCATGTCAGAAGGCAGTAAGTCGATGCGTGGTACCAGCCAGGCAGCACAGATCAGCACACTCCCAGTGCCGAGGACCAGACTGCAGCCTAGCAGCCGGGCTTCCCTCCTTGTCAAGTTTGTTTCCTGCAGGGACCTGGCCCCGATTTCTTTGGATTTACCCCTCCCACCTTTTCTCCTTCTAGCTTCTAGTTCCTCACCTGCTCTACACCTTGGAAATTAATGTCCGGGCCAGGAGTGATCTGATCGGAGAGAGTGGTTTTTTTTGACAAGGTATGGGGACAGAAATGGGTTTCAGGTTCACTCTGTCCTCTGACTTTAGGGCAGCTTGATTTGACTGCATCTGCCTGTCCTTGGTCCTGTAGGCTATGAGCACAGGCGGAGGAGGCCACGTGGATCTTATCAAGCAAGCCAGCGACTTTCTGACCTACAGCTCGCTGTGCCCCCCTGACGACTTGGCTGAGCGGGGGCTCCTGGATGTTCAGTCTTGCTTCTATGCTAAAGATGCCCTGCAACTCTGGGAAGTCATAAATCGGTGAGGCTGATGGACTGCAGGACGGGTATGGGTGCTGGTGCAGGTAGAGAAGACCAAGGGGATAGGAGGTCTGTGCCTTGGTTGGGGATGGACACCCTGACTTGGCCGTCTGATCAGGGAGCAGAGGGCTTCAGTGCGCTTGCCTGACCTTTGCTGGCAGGTATGTGACGGGAATATTTGATCTCCACTACAAGACTGACGCGGCCGTGAGAGATGACCATGAACTGCAGAACTGGTGTCGAGAAATCACAGAGATTGGGCTGCAAGGTGCCCAGGAGAGAGGTAATAGGGGTCCCTGGCATGGGAACTAAGACACAAGTTCTGAGACCTCTCCAGAACCCTCTCTACCTCTGTGGAATCTTCCAGAAGCATTTCAATCTTAATGAAAACCCCCAAAGGCTTTTCTAGGTGCAGTACGAACAGTGCTCATAAAAAGTTTAAGGCTAACCTCACCCTGAAAGAAAGCTGACCTCCCTCAGAAGCCATCAGCTGTCCATAACTCCTCATTTAGGGCGCGAGGACTCATGAGCCCCTTCCCACTTTTCTTTATAATGCTGACTTGATGCTGTGTGGGCAACCGGCCACCTTGAGCTCATGAATACATCCATCAGGCCTGTCACGCCCGAAAGACACTGTTTTCCTCTGTCTTTATCTCCTACAGCCCATCTGCCCTCTCTTTCACCGTGATCCCTAAGCCTTGGGTGGGATATGATATAGTTGCCATGGCTCCTCTCTTCCCTCACCGCACCCACTCCTGTGCCAGCTTCCACAAGCTCCTGGCATCCCTCCTCACTCCTCCCTAGGCCTCACTTCTAGCGGCTGTGGTGACGTCACACACTAACCGTCCACACCTCTTGTAGGGTTTCCCATCTCTCTACAGTCTCGGGCTCAGGCCTGCCACTTTATCACCATGTGCAGCTTCACCTGCACCGCTCAGCACTCTTCGGTCCATCTAGGCCAGGTACTTCCCAGAGGGAGGCAGTCGGGAATTTGGGTCCTGTAGTGGGGGAGGGAAATGTGAGCATGTGGGCCAAGGGCCTTCGTGTTTAGCCAGGCTTGACCCTAGATCACTGTCTCTCCAGTTGGACTGGTTCTATTGGGTCCCTAATGCGCCCTGTACCATGCGGCTGCCACCACCTACCACCAAGGATGCGACAATGGAGAAGCTGATGGCCACACTGCCTGACCCTCATCAGTCTACTCTCCAGATAAATGTTATCTGGCTGCTGGGCAGACGCCAGGCTGTTATGGTGAGAGTCAGCTATTCAGGGTCCAGAGGATGGATTCAGAGGGGAAGCCATGTGCCCTCAAGGGTCGGGGCCACAGGTTCTAAGCTGCTTCCCCCACCCTGCATCCCAGGTGCCTCTGGGCCAGCATTCAGAGGAACACTTCTCAAGCCCCGAGGCCAAAGCTGTGCTGATGAAATTCAGAGAGGAGCTGGCTGCCCTGGAAGAGGAAATTGCGATTCATAATAAGAGCCTGGACATTCCCTATGAGTACATGAAGCCCAGCCTGGTGGAAAACAGCGTGGCCGTATGAGCAGCTCCAGCTTTTTTCTTGTTTCAGTCACCCCTAGCGAAGCACTGCCCCACGCTCGAGTGGTTGCAGTCCTGCCCTCCCAAGCCCCATCCTCTGCCCCTGCAGGAGCCCCTCTTAGTGCCAGCTTTCCATTGTCTGCTGCAGTGAACAGTTTGCTTTGGATGTGCTACTCGGGAGAGCCTCTCTTCAGCCGTCCTCTCTTCTTTTCCTTCCCTATAAAGTAAATAGTGGCCGTGCTCAGAACAGCACACCAGGGACGCAAGAGGGCGATGCTATCCGTTGTTGTACACCTTTTTTTTGGTTTTTCGAGACAGGGTTTCTCTGTGGTTTTGGAGCCTGTTCTGGAACTAGCTCTTGTAGACCAGGCTGGCCTCGAATTCACAGAGATCTGCCTGCCTCTGCCTCCCGAGTACTAGGATTAAAGGCGTGCGCCACCACCGCCCGGCTGTTGTACACCTTTTATGAGTTGAATAGACTTCAAACCTGAGTAGAGTCTAGTAGCAACAGAAAAGATGGCTTGGACTAATGATAGAAAAGAGCGTGGATTGAATTATTGTAAATAAAATGTTGGCAAAGATTATGGAGCATCCAGACTGTTCTTTCTTTCTACCTGGGGGGATTTGGAAAAGAGTGTAACCATAGCAATTGCCAAGCTGTTTGGATTCTCAAAATTTTCATTTTACAAATCACTTTGAAAATGTAAATGGAGGAAAACTGGTAAATCTTTTAAAATTGCTTCTAGCTGGAGATATTTGGCTTCAAGGATTAAGAGACATGTCTATAAGCTATTTCCCATTTGCCAGTTGGGAAGTGCCAAATCAATTTGACAAGTCTAGAAAACCCCATGGTTCTCTTAGTACAGCATGACTTAACAATGTCTAACTGGGGCATCAGGATGACATTTTGGAAGAATGAATTGGGGGTTTTCTTTCTTCCTCTGAAAACCTGTGTGAATTTAAAAACAAACAGCACAGATAAGGCCAAAGTGTTCCTGTAAGGAAAACAAGTCTGCTTGACCCAGTTCTTAATTCCACGAAAGACGTGTGTACTTGATCTGATCTGTGTGGGTGCCTGTGTGTTACTCGGGATAGAACCTAGGGCCCCAGCCCGCTTGGTGAAAGCTCTACTATCAGACGCCACCTTCATTTAACCCTTGGTTCAACTCTCTTTCTCTCTCTTTCTCTCTTAATTTTAAACAATCTTTTCTCATTTTACATACCAATCCCAGTTTCTACTCCTTCTCCTCCTCCTGCTTCTCAAAACACCCCCACCTTTCCCAGACCCCACCCCCCATTCACTCCTCAGAGAGCATAAGCTTCCTATGGGGAGTCAACAAAGTCTGACACATTACTTTGAGGCAGGACCAAGGCTGTCCCCCAAATATCTATGCTGCGCAAAGTATCCCTCCAAAGAGAATAGGCTTCAAAAAGCCAGTTCAAGCAAAAGGATAAGTCCTGGTCCCATGAACAGTGGCCCCACAGTCTGCCCCAGCCACACATATTTCACCCACATTCAGAGAACCTCATTTGGTCCTATGAAGGTTCTCCCACTTTCAGTCTGATAGCTTATGCTGGAGAGGATGTGGAGTAAGGGGAACACTCATCCATTGCTGGTGGGAGTGCAAACTTGTACAGCCTCTTTGAAATCAGTATGGCGATTTCTCAGAAAAGTGGGAATCAATCTACCTCAAGACCCAGGAATACCACTCTTGGGCATAAACCCAAAGGACACTCAATCATGTCACGTGGACGTTTGCTCAACTACGTTCATAGCAGCGTTATTCATAATAGTCAGAGACTGTAAGGAGCCTAGATGCCCCTCAACTGAAGAATGGATTTTAAAAAATGTGGTACATTTACACAATAGAGTGCTACTCAGTAGTAAAAGACATCTTGAAATTTGCAGGCTAATGGCTGGAACTAGAAAAAACTATCCTGAGTGAGGCAATCAATTCTTGAAGGAAGAACAGGGAAGACTTGAGGGGTGGGAGTGGAGTGTAATGCTAGACTCTGTGAAAACCTTCAAAGTCGGGGGAACATACTATAGTTTCCAGAGCAGAACTAGAGTTCTGGCAGTGTAGGTGCTAGGAGGAGCCGTGGGCAGTGGGGTGAGGACCATAGGCCAGGAAAGCGAAGGCTCTTCTGAAACTGCTGCTGGAGGCTCTTCAGTAACCCAGAGCAGGGTCCTGAAGGTGACACCACAGAAAGGCCAGCTTCTCACTGGGAGCCTGCCCCCGCCCCCCCCGCCCCCCCCCCCCCCCCCCCCGTCCCCACAGAGGCCACACCTCCACTGGTCCTTGCTCCTCAGAAACCACACCCTTTTCCTTGGAGTCCTCTATCTCCCTGGAGCCCATGCCCTTCTGGGAGGCTGTGCCCCATTCCTTAGGGGCCACACCCTTCCCCTTGGGCCTCCACATCTTTGGTTCCTTGCTCAATGCTTTTACATTTTTACAGGTTTTCTCCTCGGTCTCATATAGAGAACAGCCCAAGTCTCCTTGCTTTCTGCCAATAAACTTTGTAGACACTCAGGTTTGTTACAAACGGACTTGTAGGATGAAAACCAAGAGGCCTGGCCTTCATGGGGGTTGACACTAGAGTCAGGCCCCTTAATGTCCCGTGGTTGCTGAGTGGGAAGTGAGGTCATGGGTTACGAGCTGCATTACACGCGTGTATGTAAACATGATTTCTTGCCACAGACATAGTCTGACAAATACATGTTTTTGTCTCTCTGTCTTTCCCTTCTCCTTTCAGCAGGGTCTCTAGGCTGACCTTGACCTTGATCTTCTCTGGCCTCAGCCTCCCAAATCCAGGATTCACAGCTGGGCACCCCGTTCTAAGGTTAACACGTATGTTTTCTTATGACAGGTCATTAAGAGTCAGTAAGGCCAGGTGTGGTGGTGCACACCATTAATCCCAGCTCTCAGGGAGGCAGAGGCAGGTAATCTGTGAGTTCAAGGCCAGCCGGGGCTGCGTAGTGACACCCTGTCTCAAAACAACAACAACAACAACAACCCATACCATGCTTAGCCTCCTGACTGATGGGACCCGGGTATAGTAAAACACTTTTGTCAGAATGACTTAATGAAGATTCTTACAAACAAAAGATTCTGAAACAATACACAGGGTAAGTTTACACTTGGCGAGAAGGAGGCGCCATTCCAACCTGTTTCTTGTTTGTACTCCTAGGTAAATTTAACCAAGAGACTCTAGAGTTTTGCCTTTATCTGGAAAAACATGTTTACCAGCTCACTGCACCACGGGTCCTCTTACTGCATGATCCTTTCCGGGGCATCCTCTCAGAGGTACTCATTAAGAATGTGACCTTGTGGTAAGGTGTGTGGGAAGAGCAAGGCAAAATAAAGCAAAGGCAGAGCCAACAGCAGTTGGTGATGCTTGAGATTGCCAAAGGACTAGTTGCTGCTTGGCTTTTTGTCAGCTCCAGTCATCTGAGAAGAGGGAACCTCAGCTGAGACAACACCTCCATCAGATTGTCTGTAGACAAGTCTATGGGGCATTTTCTTGATTGATGATCAGTGGCGAGGGGCAGCCCACTGTGGGTGGTGACAGCCCTAGGAAAGTGGTCCTGGGGTGTGTGAAAATCAGGCTGAGCAGGTCATAAGCAGCAAGCCAGTAAGCAACACTACCCCACGGCTTCTGCTCCAGTTCCTGCCTCCAGATCCCTGCCTTCGCTTTCCTCAGTGGTGGACTGTGACCAAGAATACGGAAGCCAGTCAGGCGGTGGTGGGCATATCCACGATCCCAGTACTCACGTCGTGCCCTTGGATGTGTGGATCCATTCCACCTTGACTGAAGGTCAGAGAGTTCAGGCCTATTCTTGCTCCTTCAAGGTTCTGACAGGAGGTTTGACCCAGGGAGTGGCTACCTACAGGATGCTTGGCCTAAGATATGGTTGCTGCGTGTCCTGCCTAAACGTCAGAATACTTAACTCAGGATATAGTTACTTGATGTTTCAGGGGTTGAAGAGGTAATCGCCTTGTTTGTTCTTTGTATCATCGTAAAGCAGTCTTTTACCTTCTTCCCCCATAAGCTTGTGAAAAATAAACATGGGTAAATTCAGTATTCACTGGGTTGCCCTCCTGACTCTATTCTGTGTCTCTGTCTATTTCTTTTGTATCTCTGTTTTTGTCTGCCAAATATTCCTAATCCAGAGGCCCTTAACCTATGGAACACACGAACCCGTTGAGGCTGAACCCTGACAGGTGTCACCCAAATGCGGGACCTTGATGCACTCAGGAGGTAGAAGCAGGCAGATCTCTGTGAGTTCAAGGTCAGCCTGGTCTACAGAGTGAGTTCCAAAGCAGCCAGGTATACACAGAGAACTGTCTTGACAAACCAAAGCAAAACAAAACAAAACAAAACAACAACACAAAATCCCCCCCCCCCACACACAGAGAAAAAGGAAGACAAATAAAGCCTTCTTGACCCAAGTTGCTTTGTTTTGGTTTGTTTGTTATTGTCACAGCAGTATAAAGCAACTAAGACAAACAGACATGAAGAAGGAGGGAAGGACGAACCGAAAGCTCTAGACTGGCTTTGATGGGCAAAAGGACGTGTAATCTTAAGCTTTCAACATTGAAACTGAATATATAATCCAAAAAGTAGGTAAAATGAAAAATATGACCTTCAATTGAAAATACAACATTAATATTTTTTTTTTTTAGTATAACAGAAGGTAACTTTTTTTGGTCATGACCCAGGGGAAGCCCCATTGAACAATTTTAATATACTAACTCAGATCCTTGGGACATCAGGGCTGTAATCATTGAATGGTACTCTTCTGGCTCCTCTAGGCTGAGATTTTCTGGGCTGTTGGTCCAGCTTGAGACACTCTCTTTCTGTGTCTGGCCCTCTCCCAGATGCAGACTACAGAACAGAGGGCAACAGTGGGTAGAGGAAGCTTTGGGGTCTTTGTCTGAAAACTTTTTCACAGCTCTTTTTGGACATAGTCATCGAAGCAAAGTATGGCGAGTGCATAAAAGT